ACAGCCTCAGCCAATTTGTGGCTAGGATTTTCAGAGATGTGGTAGAGAAGTTAGTATTTTCTCCACCATTTTCAAGTCAGGAGTAACAGTAAATATGCCATGATCATATACTATAGTCTGGGTACCATGATCTGCTATTACTCATAGCTTCAGTTAAAGATATTGTAGGAGTTAGAGGGATACCTGGGTAGTTAGATTGTGAGGTAACCAGAAAGGTGGCTCCCATTCGAATCTAAGGAATGGTCAGTCTTCAAAATAATTATGTTTGATGAGAGAGACTTGACAGACATGAATATGAGTATCATATTAGTCTTTTCTCAAAATACTATACAGACATACCTGAGAATGAGTAATTTATAAAGAAAAGAGGTTTGATTGGCTAACAATTCCATAGGCTGTACGGGAGGCATGGCTGGGAGGCCTCAGGAAACTTACAATCATGGTGGAAAGCAAAGGGGAAGCAGGCACAACCTTCATATGGCCAGCAGGAGAGAGACAGCAAAGGAGGAAGTGCTACCAACTGTAAAACAACCAGATTGCATGAGAACTTACTACCAGGAGAACAATAAGGGGGAAATCCACCCCCATGATCCAATCACCTTCCACCAGGCCCCTCCTCCAACACTGAAGATCGTAATTCAACATGAAATTTGCCTGGAGACACAGAGCCAAACCATATCAAGTATATATTTCCTTAGAGGTGATACGATGGCTGGGGAGCCAGGCCAGTGTGAATTAGCTATTATTATTAATTATCTTGAAAACTGGGAGACTTTCCAGACAAATGAGAGTAGAAATTTTCTTCCTTCCCCCTCCCTGCAAAAGGAAAACAAGTTATTCCCAACTCTTTTTGTTTTTTATTTTAGTGCTCCAATCTTCTGACAAGAATATGCTCAACTCTTCACCAAGTAAACACACAGGTTCCCATGTTTCTAAAAACTGATAAAATTAGCAATGTTTGTTTTATACCTAGACTTAATGGACATTTATGTAATGTAGATATCCAGAATAGGCAAATCTATAAAGTAAGAAAGTGGTTGTCTAGAATTGGGGGAAGAAGAGAGGGTGTGTACTTATTTGTGTATTAATTTTCTATTGGTGTTGTAACAAATTGCCATGAGTAGTGGCTTAAAACAACACTAATTTATCTTACAGTTTTGGAGGTCAGAAATCCAAAGTGGGTCTCATTGATATAAATTCAGGATTTAGACTAAGGAAAGAATCTGTTTCCTTGCCTTTTTTATTCTCTGGAGGCCACTCACTTTCCTTGACCCTTGGCCCCTTCTTCCATTTTCAAAGCTGGTGAAGTTGGGCTAAGTCCTTCTTGTGCTCTCATCTCTGTGGTTCTCTTTCAATTCCCTCTTTCATGTTCAAGAACTCTTATGATGACATTGGGCCCATCTGAATAATCCAAGATGATAATTTTTAAAAATTTATTTATTTTACTTCAGGTGCATACTACATCTGGCATTTCTCCCCATGTTAACCCTCCCCACCCTCCTCTAAGACAGGGTCTCACTTTGTTGCCCAGGCCAAAATGCAGTGGCTAAATCCAGGCTCACTGCAGCCTTGATCTCCCAGGCCCAAGTGATCCTCCCAACTCAGCCAGTAGCTGGGACTACGGGCCTGTGCCCATACCTGGCCAATTTTTGTTCCTTTTTGGAATTTTTTTTTGGTAGAGACAGGGTTTTGTCATCTTGCCCAGGCTGGTCCAAACTCCCAGGCTTAAGCGATTTGCCCACTTGGACATCCCATAGTGCTGGGATTACAGATGTGAGCCACTGCTCCCAGCCCCAAGGTAATCTTAAAGTCATCTGACTAGCAATCTTAATTCCACCTGCAACCTCATTTTCCCTTTGTCATGTAACCTAACATACAGATTCTAGAGATCCGGACATAGACATCTTTGAGGGGAAAAAAACACCATTCTGCTTACCACAGGGAAAATGGAGAATGGCTGCTGATGGTTATGAGATATCCTTTGGGGAGATGAAAATGTCCTGGAATTGACTGTGGTGATGCTTGCACAAGTCTGTGGACACACTAAAACCTATTTAAGTTTATACTCTACATGGATGAATAGTATGGTGTGTGAATTAAATGTTAATAAAGCAGGTATGTGTGAGTGTTCAGTATTTCTAAAACTAAATTATTTCACCTTCTTTCCTGAAACCAGCTCCTGTTCTTCAATTCCTGATCTCAGCTATTAGGTCATCCAAAATTCATGGCTATCATAGATGCTCTGGCTGCCTCGTATTCAATCATTTTTTAAAATGTTCACCGTTTTCACTTCCTAGTTACTTAATATATCCTTCCTCAGACTTGCTCTTTCTTAATGTGTCTGAGTCTTTACCTCTAAGGAGGATAGCTTTTTTGTCCAATGACCCTTTGGCAATCTGGTGACACCTTCAAAACCAATTAAAATACAATTAAAGTTTTTTTAGAATTTGTCATACAGAAATATAAGTGCATCTTTGCCAACGTGATGAAATGAAATAACAAGACTTAAAGGTGGGCCCAAATAACAACAAGGATAATTTCAAACTGGTGATGAGAATAGCCATATTCTGAGAGCTGCATAAACTGTAATGTGACATGAAAATATCTGTGATTTCTACTGTAGTTTGTTGCCAACATATAATAGAAGAAGATGCTAAATTTCGGTTAGGGATTAGCGAAAACAATGATATACTTTACTTCCTACTCAAGGTCTCTAAGGATCCCTCGGGGTTAACCTCCTCCCGGGCGTAGAACCACTGAGAAGAGCGCTCCGGCATCCTAGAGAGGAAGCACGCGATGCTGGGCGCAAGGCCGACGTAATGACACACTTCCGTTGACGCAGCATTTTCCGTTTTTCCCGAGGTGAGTGTTGCGGTTTGTTGCCCAGGAGTCGTTGCTAGGCGCAGGCACTTGAGCTGTAGAGAAGGCTGTCGGCTTCGTCCCTGCTGCCGCAGTGGAGGGAGTCAGGGTGGCCCCTCCGGGTCCGGGGAGCGAAGGCTGCTTGGGTGCCTTCGCTCCCCAAGGCCCGCGTCGGCGCCTTGGGTAATGGAGGCTGTGGATATGGGCGGCTGGATGGAAAGGATGCTTGTGCTCTCGACACAGCCCAGACCTCATCTGCATATTGGGCCACACCTTCTTTCTGAGCAGCTAAGTGCCAGTTGCTGCTCTAGATTCCGGAGATGCAGCCGTGAATGAGGCGGGGTCCGCCCCCAGGGAGCTTTGATCCCAATAGGAAAGTCATGTGGGAAAATCATGTATTAATCACCTCTGGTCATTTCACTCTACCTGCCCGTGGCTTAGTGCATGTAGGTCGAAGACCATGTTCTTGACCTGCACAAAGCATGGTTTTGTCCCTTGTGACTTACTCAGCATCATCTAGCAGCACACTCCCCCTTGACTGTGCTACTACAGTCTTCTTGACGATTCACTACTAGAACATAGCTTTTGCATATGCTGCTACTTTTGTAAAGATTTCCTTTATACCTTAGTTAATTTATATTCTTAAGCTTTCCCATCCAGGCTAGTTTCCCCTGGCAGTGATCAAAGTTGTGAACTTAAAAGTTATTTGAGGCCGGGCGCGGTGGCTCCCGCCTGTAATCCCGGCACTATGGGAGGCCGAGTAGGGTGGATCACGAGGTCAAGAGATTGAGACCATCCTGGTCAACATGGTGAAACCCTGTCTCTACTAAAAATACAAAAATTATCTGGGCATGGTGGCGCACGCCTGTAGTCCCAGCTACTCGGGTTCCAGCGGCAGGAGAATTGCTTGAACCCGGGAGGCGGAGGTTGCGGTGAGCCAAGATCGGGCCATTGCACTCCAGCCTGGGTAACTAGCAAAACTCAGTCTAAAAAAAAAAAAAAAGTTATTTCAGAAAGTCTTGGTTAATGTATGTTTTTCCTTTAGACAAAGCTCCGCAAGCAACAGGATCGTCCCCCTTCTCTCTCTGCTTCATCTCTTGTGTCACACGTGACCCGGCATGAAATAGATATGCGATAAATGTTTGTTGAATGAAGAAAGCACAAATCAGTGGTATATAGGAAAAGGAATATGGTATGAGTGGAGTGTTTAACAGGGACACCAAACTTGGTCTGTAGAGACAGATCATGATCTGAAGGTGAAGGGTGGCTAGATTACTGGAGAGTATGGCAGGCAAAGAATCTCAGTTAGAGTGGTTCTGAGGTTGGAGAGGAGTAGTTCATACAGAACAAACAGTAGGTATGAAGGTCCTGAGTTAGCATAGAGGAAACTGAAAGGCGGCCATTGTAGCTAAACTAAGAGAAAAGAGGAAGGTGGCACAAGATGAGGCTGGCAGAAAACTGCATCATGCATTAAGTCTCTGTAGGGAAGATGCTGGCTTTTTATAGAATATTGCTGTTTAACAAGAATACAAAGTGTAGGGGATGATATAGTTAAACCAATAATCCAGATGTTTTAGTGTGTTGAGGTGGCCCTTCAGGATCCTTTGGTAGTCAGTTTCTGGTTATTACCGGGCCCTTGAATGGGGCAGTGAACTAAAAAGTTGCCTGCCCCAGGTCGAAGTAAAGGAAGACTTACTCTGGGACTTTTTTCCTGGATTTTCTTGGCCAATCTTGTTTATTCTTTTATATTAACCTTAAAATCATTTTGCCAAGTTCTAAAAGCATTCATTTTAGGATTACTATTGGAAAGTATTTAGTGTAGTTGTTAAAAGCATGACTTGGCCCGGTGCGGTGGATCATGCCTGTAAATCCAGCACTTTGGGATGCCAGTGTGGGTGGATCACTTGAGGCCAGGAGTTTGAGACTTAGCCTGGGCAACATGATGAAACCCCGTCTATACTAAATTTATGAAAATGTGCCAGGTGTGGCGATGCATGCCTATAATCACAGCTACTTGGGAGGCTGAGGCAGGAGAATTGCTTGAAACCTGGGAGGCAGTGGTTGCAGTGAGCTGCAGTTGTGCCACTGCACTCCAGCCCAGGTGACAGAGGTAGACTCTGTCTCAAAAAAAACCAAAACAAAGCAAAAACAAAAAAACCCTAAAACATGACCTTTGAAGCCTGGCAGATCGCGTGTGGGATCTAAGTTCATCCATTCACTGGCTGAGTGTCTTGGTAGAAGAAATTATTCTCTTAGCCTTCTCATTTGGGAAAAATTAAATGTTTGAAAAATTTTTGTGAGGACTAAATAATATGCATTTTCCACCCAAAAACATTTTCCTATTTTTTTAACCTTTTATGTTCTCAGTAAAATTGATTTTTAAAAATAAAGGTTTGGGATTCCTCTTGTTAAGTTTTGCTCTGAGTTTATTGGTGTCTTTTGCTTGTTTTGCTCTTCATTTAGCTTGGTGTTGGTGAGGACAGGCTCTGGTGTCCTAGGATAAGTTAGTTATTCTTTCAAAAGCTGTTTCTTCAGAATTAAAAGCCTCATGGTATGGTGTGGACTAAAAAGTACATATGTATACGCCACTTACCCAGTGAGCATTTAGTAAGTGATTGAGGCTTGTTATTGGCAAGTTTGTTGCATTAAAGAGAGCCTTTTACTGGGCTGAGCTCAACATTGGTTCTCTTTGTTTCTTCCCTCAGCCTTTGCCTCCTAAGAGGGAGCCCAGGTGATGGCAGCCATACCTCTGAAAGCTCAATGCCAGGTGAGCTGTGGATCCCTGAGGTCAGCTTTATGGAGTTCTGATTTGAAAGAAGTGAGGGGTGGGAGCAGGTAGATAACGGTGATCCTGGCAAGTCTTAGAGCCAAACCAATAGGAAGACCCCTGTTGATTCCTTCAACTGGGTGCTGGGAAAAGAGGTAGGACTGGGTGCTGAGGAGAGAGCTAGGGCCAGTGAAGATGGAAACAGGAGAGGGTTACCTGGAAAGCCGAAGTACAGCCTCCTGAATTCTCAGAATCTCTGCTGGGCTGGAGAATCCCCAGGTTCAGTAGCTGTCCTCTTGCAGAGGGATTTCTGAGAATGAGGGACTCAGTCTGGTGACGTAGGGATCAAGGATAGGATGGAAGTGATCAAGATCAGCAAGGGCACAAAGTTCTTGGAAAGTAGGAGTGGAGGGACAGCAGGAAGAAGACAAGAAAGAGGGGGCCTATCTCATTTGTTCTCCAAAACAAAGAAGGAAGTTTGGGCTTCAGAATCAGGGAACATATATTCTCGAGGTCACTACTGCTGGCTAAGCGAGACAGTGGGCTGTGATCGGAAAGTCTACACTAGGACAGGACACCTGGAGTTAGGGATTTCATTAGGCCTCGGAGGCGTGGTAGCCTGGAGCAAGTCATTGACTGCTTTGCATCTCAAATGAATTCATTTGTAAATGCACATAAGTACATTACATTTATGGGACAGGGGAGTTGATTTCCTGAATTATATTTCACTTTTTGAGCTGGAGTTGCTGCTTGGTCATTTCTTTCCTCCTGGCACTTATTTATCTAGTAACTTAGTACCCATGAACCATATCCCAAGTCCCAATCTCATATTTCTCACATCCTTCAGTTTTCTCTACCTGACTGTCTCACTGATACATCAGCTTCCTTGGAGTTCCTACCCTCTACTGGTTTTTCCACAAGTCTCTGACATCACACTATATTGTAGTCCTAATTAATCAGTTTCTAAATTGCTGTGTAATTGTTGACTGTGTTCTTCCCAATACCATTTCTAGAAAGATACGAAGTCTTGTTTTTTCTTCTCCCTCTTTTACTTGGGCCATCTTTTCTATTACATTTAGAGTTTGTCATTCCTTCTCTGGGATTTTGTTTGCAGAGCTTCCTGGATAGATTCTCTATGTATAGTTGTGCACCTTCCCATTACCTAGTCACCTGATACACCTCAGTTCCCTGAGTTTGGATTTTATCCTCCAATACAGGGTTCTCAAACTTCAGTGTACATCAGAATTACTTGGAAGATTTACTGAAGTGTGGACTGCTCTCACGATGGGGCCCAAGAATTTGCCTAACAAGTTCCCAAGTGATGCACCAGCTACAAGAATATAAAGTGTCCGTAGGGGATGATATAGTTAAAACAATAAACCCAATGTTTTAGTGTGTTGAGGTGGCCCTTCAGGATCTTTTGGGTAGTGAGTTTCTGGTTATCACCGGGCCCTTGAATGGGGCAATGAACAAAAAAGATGCCTGCTTCAGATCCAAGTAAAGGAAGACTTACTTGGGGATTTTTTTTTCCCGAATTTTCTTGGCCTTTCTTGTCTATTCTTTTATATTAACCTTAAAATCATTTTGCCAAGTTCTAAAAACATTTCTGTTAGGATTACTATTGGAAAGAATTTAGTGTAGTTATTAAAAGCGTGACGTGGCTGGGTGCGGTGGCTCATGCCTGTAATCCCAGCACTTTGGGAGGCCGAGGTGGGTGGATTATTTGAAGCCAGGAATTTGAGACTAGTTTGGGCAACATGATGAAACCCTGTCTCTACTAAATTTACAAAAATGCGCCAGATGTGGTGGCACATGCCTATAATCCCAGCTACTTGGGAGGCTGAGACTATACTCTGAATACCACTGTTCTAGTTTGTGGCGATTCATTCAAGAGGTTCCTTCGGGAGTTGATGGGGTCAGGTTGTCAGCTGGGCAGACGATAGATTCAGTGTGGGACAAGCCTGGAAGTGGAGCTAAAGTGTCCCCAGCTGTTGACCTTGTGTGCTGATTGTACCATGGTAAGGAAGAGTCAGATTCCAGAAATATGTAGGTGATAAAATTGGCAGGACTTGAGTATTAACTATCAGCAGTTAGTGACAATGGGGCTTTGAATGTCTCGTATTAATCTCAAGTTCAAGCATTAGAGAGTGAGCTGAAATTGGTGTTATTATCAGAGAGGGAAAAATACTGCCACTCACTATGCCACTTAGTTTATATAATTTAGAATGGGAGCCATTTTGGGGAAGATGAGTTTGGTGTTGCATGATGAGCCAGTGTATTGGGTCCTCCAGAGAGTCTGAGGCAGTGCTGGGGTGAGGGGGATGTGGAGATGTGCAAAATCAGCTGAGGCATTGGAAGGTGGGAGTATCCCTGAGCACTCTGGTAATGAAGTTTAATACCCATATCTGAGGAGTGACTAGAGTCTCTAAACCAGATGTCAGAACTTCGTGGAAAGGTAGAGTTGAGGCCAGTAGGGAGGGAAAAGAGTATCTATTGAAAAAGCATGGGGGACTGGGCATGGTGGCTCATACCTGTAATCCCGGCACTTTGGGAGGCTGAGGCAGACGGATCCCTTGAGTCCAGGAGTTCAAGACCAGCCTGGGGAACATGGCAAAATTGCGTCTGTACAGAAAATACAAACAGTAGCCAGGCATGGTGGTGTGCACCTATAGTCCCAGCTACTCAGGAGGCTGAGGTGGGAGTCTCATCTGAGCCAGAGGTGAGCTGAGATTGTGCCATGGCACTCCAACCTGGGTGACACTGTCAAAAAAGAATGAAAAAACAAGAAAAAAAGGAGAAAAATAACAAAAACTAAAACTAAAACCCCGAGATGCATGAATCTTAGTTGGCAGAAGCTGCTACAGATTGTCTTGAGGTATAAAGATAAGGAGCTAAAAGAGCTTCCCAGCAGCAGCCATTTAATTCTAGAAGCATCATTTTCTAGGAAAACCCATCAAGGAGCAGAGTCGATTGTACCAGGAGACTCTCAGCTCCCTCTGCAGGATGCTCTTGAGCACAGGCAGCACAGCCCTTTATCAAGAATCATATGGGAGTTGAATGAGACAGGCCCATCAGTGCAAACCATGACTCTGTTCTTGTTTCATGGGCATAAGGTTTGGGGCAGGGTGAGCACATGTGGGGAAGAGATGGATTGGCTGGGAGTAGGGAGTACCTAATAGGAACATGTAGGTCCTGAGATACCATTTGAAGCAAATTGTTTACTTGTAGGTGCAACACCAAAAAACTGAAAATATTTACTAAATCAAAGATTTTGCTGTGGGAAGGTTAACTAATAAGAAACTTCTTTCTTAGGGTGTAAAAGTGTTAAATCACATTTTATGACAGTAAATTTTGTATCCTAATGGAAGCTCTTCTGGTAGTGAGAGAAGTTCCAGGTTTTTGCTTGTAGAAATAGTCATATAATGGTCTAATATCTAGTTCTTTTCGCCTTTTCTCATTATGCATCCCTCACAGGACCTTCCCTCAACCCCCTACCTGTCTTCTCTGCCCCATACTCTGGCCCAGAGCCAGAGGATTGGCTCTGGGGTAGCTCTGTTGTTTTAGGAGATGGTGACCTTTGAGGATGTGGCTGTGCACTTCACTAAGACAGAATGGACTGGTCTTTCTCCTGCCCAGAGGGCCCTGTACAGAAGTGTGATGTTGGAGAATTATGGGAACCTGACTGCTATGGGTAAGACCATTTTCCTCCTAGGACTCAGATCTGTACTTTTCAGTTTTCTTCCTTCTTTTACAGACTGGGTGATGGGTGTGGTGTGGAGAGGAGAGGCTGTCTCTTGTGTCCTCCACTGAGCGACTACAGGGCTGAGGCTCAGTGACCAACTTCAAAGATTGCTGGGTAGGGAGAGGTCTTGAGTCACTTTGGTCTCCCAGTGAAGGGAATTACTGTCCCCTGGTAGGAGTATGTTTCTTCTTCCAAGGGGTTCTGCCCACTAAGAAATAAGTAGTGTTTGTTGTCTGGGGAAGACCATGACTTCTTCCCTGTGTTTGCTCATGCCTTGCAGATCTCACTAACTTAATTTTTCTTGATTTTTTTTTTTTAGGAAGAAGTCACAAATGCTCAGTTTCCTCTTGATCAGAATCTCTTTGGCCTTCCCCAGTCAAGAACTCTCTTCTCTGGGTCTTATTCTTACTGAGACATCTAGGGTTTTCCTTCTTTTGAAACACCAGATACAGGGCTGAAAAGTACCATTTTCTTCCTTTTTTCAGGGTACCCAGTTCCCAAACCTGCACTGATCTCGCTCCTGGAGGGAGGGGACATGGCTTGGGACCTGGAAGCACAGGATGATCCCCTGGCAGAGGGGACCAAAAACATCTGTAAAGGTAGGAAAGGCAGGTTTAGAACCAACAACTGTAGAGTTTTATGGAGCACTGTATTTAAAAGTGAACCATGCTGGGCAGAATTTAAATATAATAGGTGATTTCACCTAATAACTAAAATATGAAACCTTTCCCACCAATCTTAACTCATACTAACTTGTAACCACCCAGTACGTCTCATCAGCAATCCCTGAATCAATTGCTCCTTTCTTAGTTGCAACATTGCCTACCTTAGTGGTCTTCCTTGGTTGGGATGGATTTATTCAGGAGCAGTTTTTGAGCAACTTGCTATGTACCAAACTTTGTTTAAGAAGTTCTGGAAGATACAAGTTGTGGAGGCAGATGTAAAAAGCTAAAAAGAAAAGTTTTAAGTGCTATTAGGAATAGGATAGCCAATGTGAAGGTAAAATGGACCAGATCTTCCCAAAGGTTGGCCATAAACGGGGAGAGCTGAGTCAGATAACACTGAGAAGTCATGGCATGAGAAGATTTTTTTTTTTTTTTTTAATTCAAAGGAATTCAGGGCTGAGCACAGGATGGGAGGTTCCTTTAGAATAGGCAAGTGGATGACTAGAGCAGGCCATTGAGAAGGTGGGTGGAGAGTCTGAGATAAAAGGCAGGTCTGAAAGGGTACTCTAACAGCTGGGTTGAAATGACCCCCAGGGAGAAAAAAGGAGGGCTGAATCTTAACCATTAAGGTATGTTTAATTTCAGTGAGAGAAGGAAGAGAAAATAGACAGTCAAATGGTCAGATGGGTGCCACCAAGAGCAAATAGTGAAGCTGAAGGCAGAGACAGGAGTTTCAGTGCAGCTGGTCTGTGGAGAGCAAGTAAATGGAAAGTGATGAAGCTGGGGCAGCACTTCAGTCTGTTATTCTAAGAATCTGAAAAAGAATCATCAAGACAATTGAGAAGCTGGTGGTCTGTTCTCACACTCCTGTCTCTGGTGATGATTCTTTTTCAGACTCTTGGTTACCACCTTTACTTCCGTCTCAGATTACTCCTCTCCCAGCATTCCCCTTTGGAGTTCCCTTACTCCTTTAACTCGCACTCATAGGATGAACTTGATTAACCTGCAGATGAGTTCCAGGTACTGATGTGAAAGTTGAAATGATCTCTTTTAAAGCCTTGTAATTTTCAGTGCTCTATCTAGTATAGTTCTCAGTGGCATTGTTTGTGTTTTCTGTCTGTTACGTCAGATGCTGAGACCAACACTGACGGTGAATCCGCATTAACTCAGAAAATTTCTGAAGAAAGAGATGGGATGATGTCACATACGCAGCTGAGGAGTGTCCCTCAGAGAACCAACTTCCCAGAAACATGTGATGTGGAGAAGTACCAGGACATCCCCACAGTAAAAAACATCCGAGGAAAGGTTCCAGGAATCCACTGTGCAAGGAAGCCCTTCATATGTGAGGAGTGTGGGAAATCCTTCAGCTATTTTTCTTACTATCTTAGACACCATAGAATCCATACTAGGGAGAAACCCTTTGTGTGCAATGAGTGTGGAAAAGCCTTTAATGGCAATTCTTCATTAATGCGGCACCAGAGGATTCACACTGGAGAGAAACCCTATCAGTGTGAGGAGTGTGGGCGAGACTTTAATGATAATGCAAATCTGATCAGGCATCAGAGAATCCACAGTGGGGACAGACCCTATTACTGCATAGAGTGTGGAAATAGTTTTACCAGTAGTTCCGAGTTTGTTATACATCATAGAATCCACACTGGGGAGAAACCCTATGAGTGTAATGAGTGTGGCAAAACTTTTGTTGGTAATTCACCCCTACTTCGGCATCAGAAAATCCACACTGGAAAGAAACCCTATGAGTGTAATGAGTGTGGCAAAAGTTTTGGAAGGACTTCCCATCTAAGCCAACATCAGCGTATTCACACAGGGGAAAAGCCTCATTCTTGTAAAGTATGTGGACAAGCCTTCAGTTGTCATACAAAACTAACTCGGCACCAGAGAATTCACAGTGAGGAGAAGTCCTTTGACTGTGTAGATTGTGGAAAAGCCTTCAGTGCTCAGGGACAATTAAAAAGGCATCTGAGAATTCATATTCAGGAATCTTCCTCTGTATGTGATGAGTGTGGAAAAGCCTTCACTAGCAAAAGAAATCTTCATCAACATCAAAGAATCCATACTGGAGAGAAACCCTATGGGTGTAGCAAGTATGAGAAGGCCTTTAGGACTTCTTCCCAGCTAGGTTATCTTGAGCACGTGCACTCTGGAGAGAAGCCTGTGCTGGATATTTGTCGTTTTGCCCTCCCGGAATTTTTTACCCCCTTTTACTGGTAATAGTACACTCCAGTGAAATGTACTGAGTGAATTCTGTCTTCTACTCAGGAATGGAATGTGTGACACAGGCCTGGCTCAGCCTCTGATTTATCCCTCAAGCCACAGTTACTGATTCAGATGTTAGTATATGACCAAAGATGGTCTAATTAGAGTTCCAGGATTGCAAGAGCTAATAGGAAGAAATGCTCTCCTTCTCCACCCCAACTGGTTTTAACGCTGAGAAGAACTAGATTCTCACAGAGGCTGAGAATGAAGTCAACACACTAAAAAAGGCATCTGAGAATTGGAGAGCAGTTTAAGACTGAAGATAGTGTTTGAACAGCCACATCAGACCATGTCTGAACCTAAAAATACAAATGGGTTTTTGAATTGCAGTAGCCATTAAATTCCATTTTTGTTTTTGGCTTTGGCACATTTGAGTTAACTGTTCTTCCCTTGGAACAGAATTTTGACTTAAACAGTGTTGTTAGTCTTCAACATGTTATCCCTGAAGACTTATTTGAAAAGTCTTCAGGAATAACATACCTGAATGGATGGAGAAATGTTTTGTGCATATGTTATGTAGGAAAGTCTTTAGTAATAGCCATGGCAGCTCCTAAACCCCATGATTGTAATGAGATTGAGAAGCCCACTGTGACACTGGAGAGCCCAGGTTGTATCAGACACCACAAGTAAATAGAAATTCTAACAACTTGAGCTCTATAACAGAAATCTCATATAACAAAATTATGTCTGCACCAGTGAATGTTCTCAAGAAAAGTCTTAACTAGGAAACTAAAGGCTTTCACTCTGAAAGCTTTTATTTTCTGCTTATTCAGTTTTTTATTTGGAATGAATGCTACTCTAGGCATTAAACTGGGAAATGCCAGGCTATTGTAGCTATTATAGCTTGGCATTTGCCGTTTTAGTTCCTAGGACAGCGTGCTCACTTTGGCCTTTGATCTGGGTAGGGAGCCAAGGAAATGCTATGGTTCTTAGTCATAAGACACTGCAGAGATACTGGCCCTTTTCTTTGGTGATAAACATAATCTGCACACTTCTTTTTCTCCCATGTGCCCTCCTGCTGCCAGTTAGTGTTGGAATCTTCTTACCCAATTTCAGACTTAATGGCTTATTGAGTCTAACAATTGGGTGGCTTCACCACCTCTTCCTTACTTGCCAGCAGATGAATGAGCAGCTGTATCCTGTGCTTGGGTTGACCAATGAATGACAGACTTGGGGAATTAAGTAAATGCTTTTTAATTGAAATCTAGCACAAACATAAAAATGCATGAGTTGGCTGGGTGCGGTGGCTCACGTAATCCTAGCACTTTGGGAGGCCGAGGCGGGCAATTAAGGTCAAGAGATTGAGACCATTCTGGCCAATGTGGTGAAACCCCCGTCTCTACTAAAAATACAAAAATTAGCTGGTCGTGGTGGCGCACACCTGTAGTCCCAGCTACTCGAGAGGCTGAGGCAAGAGAATCACTTGAACCCCGGAGGCGGAGGTTGCAGTAAGCTGAGATTGCATCACTGCACTCCAGCCTGGTGAAAGAGCGAGACTCCCTCTAAAAAAAAAACAAAACCCATGAGTCATGGTTGTACAACTTGAGTTTTTTCAAAGGACATAGCCTTATAATCACCAAGATAAAGAAATAGAACATAGCACCTTACAAGCCTCCCGTACCTTATTACAGTTCTTATGGAACCTCTACCCTGACTTATATCACCAGAAATTATTTTGTTCTTTTGTGTCAATGGAATAATCAGTACAGATTCATTCTCATTGCTGTGTATTATTACATTACATGAATATACCACAATTTATTGCTTACTGTTGGTGGGCATTTGGGTTATTTCAAGGGGGATCATTTTGGAGGCAGAATATCTTAAAGCCACCCAGAAAAAAAACTGTTTAAAGTAATGGTGGTCGCGGGCTGCTTCAAATGGTGCTGCTTCATCCCAGCTGCCCTGTAGTAAATGATAACAGCAGTCAACTTTTTTGGCACTTAACATATGACAGACACTTTCCTAATCACACAGATTTACGCAGTACGATAACTATGAAGAGCGTGCTATAATTAGCTCCATGTTACAGTTGAGGAGTCATTAATTAGGTTGCCCAAGGATGCAGTAGTGGAGTAGGTATTCAAACCCAGGCTGTCTGGTTTCAGAGCTTGTGTTCTAACTGTTGCACCATATGGCCCTATAGAGGTTGTATGTAAAGTATGTGACGCTGTGTCTTGGTAACAGAAGAGACTGTTGGAAGAAACAGATATGCTCCTTTGGGGTAGAGGAGAATATTAGGATCAAGTCAAGTTTGGGAGGCTGTGCTTGGCTTCACACAATGGGAGGTGGGAAATTGGCATCAGAGAGGAAACTATAGGTTGAGATGGAATCATAAGACATGTCCAATAAAGACTGTCCCAGCAGAGCTGTCGTGAAGGAGGTAGCATGCCTCCAGTATGCAGAGGATCTGGTCCCCGACTTACTGGCTTTGTACCTCTCAACACCGTCTGAAAATGGGTGTCTTCATATCATGTACCTGAACCAGAGAGCTGGCTCCACTGAGGTCCAAGTGAGACCCCCTCACTTCAGCTTTGAGGTGTAGGGATATCTGAGTGAGGTTTGTTTCCTTTTTTCAGGACTTCACTAGTTAGCTCCCTTGGCCCTAACCCCAGTGCCACTGTCAGGAAGCCCCCTCCAATTGAGTAACTGTCCCTGAATCGGTTATGATTAATGTATTAGTTTTCTTTGGCTTTTTTTTTTTTTTTTTTTTTT